GTTTATTTGTGTAAAACGTGTAATCGTAAAATACAGCAGCGATGGACTGAAAAGATCTTTGTAGTGTGTACAGAATGTATTCTCTGTTGAGGTGAAAATGCTGTAATACTTTGGCCTCATAACGGCTGCTCCTGTGGTTTCTCTCTGCGTGGAGCGTGTGTGCGAGCGCCTCCAGGGTCTCAGCCTCAGGATCTTCTGACAACGGATAATATTGAATAAAAATACAAACCATAGTACAAACTCCTGCGGTTTTGACAGAGCTCCAGGGCAAACTCAGACATCGAGTGTGAGCGGCGGAAAAGCTCTAATTTCCAACAAAGGTCATAAAGAGGAACATGAAACCAATGGGTGCTTCCATCATTTTAATGGGGCTTTCACCTCTGAGCCCCAAACAAGACTATTCCAGATGAATTTTAGTAAAACAATTGCTGTATTTTCCAGCTCCTTTCTCTCTTTCCAAATGAGAAATTGCTTCTCTTTTTCTTATACAAAAAATGTTTTAAGCCAAAAACAGAATTATACGATAGCATGGTTTTTCCACTTTGAGTATATTTGGAAAAAAGTATTTAAAACCTGTGCCCTGTGAGCGGGAGCAGCTTCTCAATTTTGTCTTTACTTTTGGTCCTGGTCCGGTAGTTCCTTCCACCGCAATAAATCTATATTATACTGTATTTGTGTTCCAACAGAGAATGTTCCATGGTGAGAACACTTCCAGAAAGTTATGTAAATTAAAATATGTTCTGGTTGTTCCAGTGAAAAATCTTCTTCTGTTCGATAAAGATTTGGGAACAGTAAAGTGTTTGGATAAAATCACATTAAAAAACAAGTCAACATCTGTTACGTGGGAGACCCGTCCAATTATCACATTCAGTCAATTATTTTTGTGCATTTGTCTTGTAAACATATTTTTCAGACATTTAAACTTACATTGTTCCAGTTATAGTTATATATAATTACACAGTATATATATATTTCAACTTGTACTTTTAAATACACATCCACTGTGTATACTGTATCTGTTATCGGCTAACTATCGCTATTGGCCTGTAATATGAATGTGGTCTGTGACACATTAGTATCACTACATGTATCGAAAAACATCAGTCTTTTATGTTCTATATTAAACAACATTAAAACATTTTCATTATTATAAAAAGCTTCCCAGCCCCAAATACAGCCCAAAGAAAGTTACAACTATTACTTCCACATTGTGTACTGTACATTGTCGTAACTACCAAACCCCTGCAATATGGAGAAATAAAGTTATTGTTCCACAACTTTACATAATAAGATACACACGGCTTACTTTATATTCCTCCAGATACTCTCAGGGAGAAGTAAAAAGTAAATCGGACAGGGATATTGAGTGAGAGCTTTGCAAACTGCTTCTTGAGTCCCGGTGTGTGCTTTTAGGCTCATATATACACAAACAGCCCACAAACAGGCCGCCTGCCAAACAGAGGTAATGCGGCAGATTAAGTGTGTCAGGAAGTGGAAGAGGCATGAATCATTGTTTTCCTGAGAGGACCGGCACACCTAGAACTGCACTACGCTGCATACTTTTTACCAAATTACACGCTCCCATTGAAAATAGAAGCAGGATGGATTTAGACCTGGAGTAGACCACCTGCTCACGCAACATAACACCAAGAAGTCGTGTTGTCTGTATGTTTGTGATCATGTGGGAAAAAAACAGGTGGATAGCAAGATAGTGGAGTTTGCATGTTCTCCCTGTGTCTGCGTAGGTTTCCTCCAGGTGCTCCGGTTTCCCCTACCTCTAAAAACATGCACAATAGGTATGAATGTAAGGAGTGAGTGAATGAATGAAACGCCAGTGTGTTCGTCTACTCGCTTCTGTTGTCGTCACCGTGTGTGGAATGATTGGAACAATATCTGAACACTGAACATTGTAAAGCGCTTTGGGTGACCCTGGTCTTTAAAATGCGCTATATAAATAAACATTACTTACTTACAACACAAGATAATTGAAGAATAACGGAATACTAAAATAAAATACAAAGTAATCTCTGACTTTAGAACATGCAAACTCCACACAGAAAGGCCTGGAGGTGGAATCGAACCCAGGACCTTCTTGCTGTGAGGCTCCAACGCTTTCATGTTCAAGCACAAATAAAGTAATTGCATGATACCTACACTCTCCATATACCGTATTTGCATTTCCACTTTTCATGTTGAACAATGAGATACTTATAAATATACTTGAGATCACTTCCACCTGTTGTCATGGCGAGCACATCCATTTGATCACAGCCGCTTGTTGCCTGCGTCAACACTCGCAGCCTCACGCCAGTCAAAGCAAAGCCAGGATTATGATCATTAAAAAGCTCTTGTCAGTCATCTTCACTATCTGTAATCTGCCACGGAACATTTGGCGGGTGTTTGGTCCCCCGCCGCGCACCAGAGAAAGGCTCTTTCTTCTGCTCTCAATGGAGTTAATTGGACATGAGCTTTGAAGAGGAACATCTGCAGAGCAAGTCATGTATGCCGTTTGAAAGGCAGCTGCCTGTGGAGAGAGCCCCAAACCACACTTCTGCTCCACATAGTTTAGCTCTATCGATTCTCACATGACATTTTACTGCTCCGACCCTCGCCTCGCCGCCGCTGGTCAGAATCCAATATTGAATGTGAAACGGTGGAGAAATGCAAAAAGAGTTCGGTGTGGTTTTGTATAAATTAGGCAGCTGAGTCAGCGTGGTGTCACCGTAAATGGAGAGGAGTAATCAGATAGAATTGAGTGAAAAAAAAGTGAGATATCTCGTTCATTCCCACAGACAGAGAGGCTGTAGATCCAGGACTCATACGACTGAGGTGGTGGGGAGGGAGGTGCAGCCTGCGAGTCTGGGTTTAGGGAGAGACCAGTCCACAGGTGCAGGTGAAAGGTTCAGGGGCTCTGTCACTGTTCTATTGAGAGCAGAACTGGGTCAGACAGGGGTCTTACTTACAAGAAAGACCCCTGTGAGGCATTATTTGAGGAGCATTGATGAGCAAAAGTGGTCCTCTCCTTTTAAAGATGTGGCGAGACAAAACACACAGGTGAAACTAATGTACTGTATGGCAGACGCTCTAAAAACATACAAACATTAAAATATTTTGGAAATCTACTATATGTCATAATGAAATACCCAAAAGCAGAACTGCATTTTGAAGGTAAAAGCTGAAACCTGGGACAAGACATGGAGGAAAAACACAAGGAACAACCAAATTCATAGGACAGACAGCAAGTAAATCACAAAACAAATAGAGAGTGAATATATATCAAAATAAACGAAATGTCCACACCATTACACTGTAAACCATAATCATCAATATCGGCGTATGTCACTTTGCGGGTGATAAGTGTATGTCATGTATTGGTGTCACATTTTAAATTGAAATTCTAATTCTCCCAGTTTAATCTGCACATGCATGAGAAATATTCTGTTGTGGTCTGTGATTTATGAAAGTAATGTAAAATTGAAAACTCCTATTTTCCTCAGGCATGAGCATTGAAAGGGAACCTCTTCAGGGTTTTTGTATTATGACCGATTACTTCATGTTTTTAAACCACGTTTACAATATCATCCCTTTTATGATTATCTGCCCTCCTCTAACTGAAAGAAACATATTCAAAAAGGGTGGCCACATAAAAAAAACACATCGGGGCCTATTTGGCCCACGGGCCTTAGTTTGGACACCTCTGGGGTAGATGCACATTCAGGTCAAAAAACAAAAAACAATACGTGAATCTGTTGAATTATTGCAAGTCCAGTTTATTTCAATTCAAATCTGGACCCTCTTTTGAGTAAATTTACCATTAAAATATAGAGTGCAATTATCTGCACACGTTGCTGAAAAATGCTTTTGAAGATTTGGTCTTAAAACCAAAGCCATGAAATAATAACACCTAGAGATATGCTGTAGAGTTTTAGTATAGCTACACCTTCTCGTTAATTAAATAGCATTTGTAATGATGTGTTCGCAGGTCTAATTACGTGCTAGAGTAGCTCATCTGCTTTGAGGCTTAAACCAGCCGGGCGTTCCTCTTAAGCTGCACATAGAAATGCACTCTCTTGAGTTTTATAACCAGTCCTCTCTGAGCCCTGGACACAGTGCATGGATCAGCGTTTTTTACAGTACTTGGTGTTTTTGTACAGTACTTACGGAGGCCCATTTGGCTACAACAACTGCCTCGTCTCAATTTGGAGCAGGATTTTACAGCAGTTCGAGCTCTGAAGGCGCATTCCATAATTAATACAGGAAAATTAATTAACAACAGTCAATCACCTGTATTGACCAGGCCGACCAATGTACTGATTTTTTCCACAATCCTGAGCTCCAACCAAAGTCCCTTCTGAGCTGCACTGTAGCCGGTCCGTCTGTGTGGCCTCCCCAAGGTTTCTCATTATCTCTCACTGGGTTTTTAGAGTTGTTCCTTGCCGATGCAGGAGGGTCTAAGGACAGAGGTGATGATCCAGGACACTCAACATGCAACAACATTTATGGACTTTATCAACATTTGTAGACATCGGTCATCTGCCCCTTTATGGACCAATGGCTCCATGTGTTTTTTTTTATCATTGCATTTATTGTGTTTGTGTGATGGCAAATTTGACTGTCCTCCAAGATAACTTCTGTTGTGATTCGGGGCTATTAAAAATAAATTGTGGTGAATTAAACGTAAAAATCCACCCTGAGCAAAGATATGATGTGAATCACAGTTGTACACGGCTAATAACATGACTGACAGCATAGGACAGCGTATTTCTGATAAAAGCATGGGTTTTCAGTCTGTTCTTAAATACGTTGGCTTCCCATTGTCTCAACAGGATCTGAAGAGCTGGTGCTTTGTAAACATTCTCTGTATTCCAGGTGTGAGGGAGCGTAAAGGCCCTCTTGTCCTGGTTTATTGTTGCTATATTTCCATCATGTCATTCTTTGTTACAATCATCAGAAATGGTCAGCTAATATGAAAACCTAATACAAATTGATTTTCTCCACAGAGGCTGAAGGAGCTGAAGCACAGGGAGTTCACCCGGAATGTAGCGTCCAAAACATGGAAGGACCAGCGCAAAGAGGAGCGAGCGCTGCGGAGGCTGCATCAGCTGGCTCATCTGCAGCTGCAGACTGAGAGGTGAGAGGGAGGGGAGAGGAGGGGTGTGCGTTTGTGCGCAATTGTGTGTTTTTCTGTGTGTGTGAGTGTACTGGAGTGCGTATAAAAGAAAGCAAGCATATGTGTGTGTGTGTATGTATATGTGAATGTGTGCATTTGTGTGTGGGTGTGTATATGTGTTTTATGTGTGCGTGAGTGTGCTGGAGTGTGTGTTAAGCAAGCATTAGTGTGTATGTCTGTCTGTGTGTTTGCGTGTGTGCATGGAGTAGAAGGTAGGCAGAGCTTGTCATGTCCCGTCAGCTCCTTCACATGTGATGGATCTATTCACACCAGAGCCACAGGTGAAGCAGTGTCAGACAAACACAGACCTGCATAATGGCTTCAAGGAGGGAAACGTGTGTAAAAGTACGCCTATTATTCCACTAGTGCAGCAAATGAATACACACTAGTGCTTGTGATTTCCTGTGAACACTTACAGCATCATTCCTTCCCTGGACAACAATAGTGGGTGGGTGTACAAACCCCTTGCCTAAGGGCACAACTGCATTCATTAAAACCACTTCTGCTTTTGTTGATATTGATACGATTGTGAAGAGGACGAGTAGTTTCAATAAAATGAAGTTTTTTACAACAATAACAAACATTGCTTCAGGGCTTCATCTTTTGACTGTTTCACATCAAATCTCTTATGAAACTCCAGCGCTTTAAAGGATAATTACATTTAATTGATTTGTTCTACTTAAAATACTGATATAATGTGAGATAACATTATTGTCCTTTGTCATACTAAGAGTTGCTTTAACTCCATTTGCTAATTTAGGGATTTTTTTTGACTGCCAAAATTGTGATGTGTTTTTGTATAGAGTTTTTTGTCCACCAAATAAATATTATAATAAAATTGGAAACATTGATTTCCAAAATTGAAGTGCTCAACATATTTGTTATTTAAAGTGAATGTGACTTTTTAAATAGTGGCGAGAACTATTGAATGCAAGTACAGTGAGGAAGCATGCGTGGGTCTTTAAATCCAAATCCTTGGTTACCCATTGGTTGTAATCTTCCCATTAAAGCTGGGGTACCCAAATTTTCATTTCAATGCTGTCCCAATGGAAGGAGCTGTATGTTGGGAAAATGTTGTGATTCTGTCTTTATCTTATTATTCAACTTTTTCATACTTGCGAGGAAGAGCCCTGAGAGTCACTATTTGACTCTTTGAACTCTTTTTTCACTTTTCTGCCTGAAAAAGCTGATTTTAAGATGTGGCATTGACCAAAGTATATGTGAAAACTCATTAAAGAAACTGTTTTGAGAGCAAAGAACGAGTGACATGGATTTTACTACATAGTTCAAATATTGTGGTTTGAAAGTTATGTACCCCAGCTTTGAATGAATGAATTAAAAACTAGTCGAACAACAATTTATCACGAGGCCACAGAGTCAACAATATGCATTCTCCTAAAATACTAAATACGTTGCTACAATACGTTACTATATACAGTACATTGCACTACTGACAATGAACTTATACTTTACTGCAAAAACAATTCAGTGAAATATTCCATGTATTTATCTACTGGCTGTCCAAAAGTTACCTCTCGACCCACAATCAAAACAACTTAAATTAAAAGTTACCTACCGACCAAGTTGATTGGACCCGTTCCCGAAGCAATTAGGAGTGTTTTATGAGCGCGGTGATGGAGCATGAGAGCAGCGCGGCGCGTGTCTCATTGTTTTGATGCATGTTTATGGCGCCTGTGTTTACGCTAATGACACTGGTTCGTTAAAGCCTGTCTGCGTGGCTTATGCGGCCTATATTTACTACCTCTGTTAAAACCAGCAAATCAATCCTTTGCTAATTACGAGTGGAGATTGGGCCCACATCACTATCCATACAGAGAATAGGCGCTAAGAAACGCGGACGCTATTCTAGGATCTAATTATTGGTCGATGATGTCGTGGTTGACCTAGATTTTCATTGGTCGGTTCAGAATTGGCTACTTCATTTTGTGAATTATTTGCAAAACGATAAAATATTCAAATTAAATGTATTTTTGAATTGTTCCAAAATCACAACAGCAGTGGTCTAGGAGGAGTCACAGTTGCCCCAGGACAGGGAGTCCAGGGTTTTGAGTCCCACCATTGTGTTCATGGAGCAGACAGAATGACAGCAAGTGAATAGAATGCTTTTTTGTCAGTTTTTAGTCTTTATTAACACTAGAACTCCCAGAGCAGTCATTTTGGCGGCTTTTAGTTTTGGAAGTGTAATTACTCATCCCATGTGCATTCTTGGTCTTCAAAACTTGTTCTGTATCTTTACGCAGTTCATTTCTATTTCATTATTTTTTGTATGTCTTTTACTTTTGAAATGTGAATTTAACTGATTTTCCACCAGTGTTATAGTTTCTTCCTGTGTTATAGTTATAATGATCGGTTTTAGCACTTACCAAAATTGACTAAAGGTAAAAACCTTAAAAATTCCTTTTGTTTTCTCAGAATGCTATTAGTTTGAATGGGATCAGTCAAAATGACAGCTTTGAGAGTTCAAGTAGTTTCAGACTTCTGGTAGCTCTAGTGTTAAATCAGCATTATACATGTTCAAAAACATATGCATAATGTTGACCTGTAGACAGGACTTTCAGACGAATACTATGCTGCGTTTGTGAATCACATTAAGAAACAATCTTTTTCGAGCTTTATATCAATTACTTGTTTCCCTAGAGTGTTGTCAGCTACACTCCAACTCACAGAAATCTAGAACATGAACGTCCCAGGTCTCCACAGTGTAGTAGTATTTATTTGCTGTCCTGTAGCTAGAGCTGCTTCGATGCTGCGCTTCAAACACACACAAAAAATCTGTGTAAAATAAAAGTCAGATCTCCTTCAAGAGGCAGCTGCGCTCGTGGCAATGTGAGTGCGTCCAAAGCACAGCACGGCTCCATTGGCCTAAGAGTCCAACCCCCCCAGAGTTTGTGCAGCGTTCAAAAGAAGGTCAGACAACATCAAGTGTTTTGAAGCTACAGTTTTCAATTATTATAGAGGCCATGCTGTATGTTGCAGTTTTTGAGGATCAGAATGAATGTGTATCCAGCTAGAATCCAATAATCTGCCTGTATTATGGAAAATAAAAGACAAAATAAGAAACAGTTTTTATCAAATGTCATGATTCAATTGAATTTCAATGCAGTAATTAAAAAATGATATATGATAACTGTGATTAAGGAAATTCATAGACTCATAATTGGATTTCATTTGTTCAAACAGTTTGATTCTCAAATCTGTTGTTGGCAAATTAAAAATGTCAAAATAATCCTCAGAGACAACTGCTGTGATGTATGGCTTTACAAAACAAATTTAGAGAGGAAAATGAATTAGAACTGATCATGCCTGTAAGCAGACTTCTTCATCTCAACAGATCCGACTTATATGTCGGACCAGGGCCTATCTGAGTGGAGTTTGCATGTTATCCCCGTGTCTGCGTAGGTTTCCTCTGGGTACTCCGGTTTCCCTACCACTAAAAACATGCACAATAGATCTGGCATGCGCCTCCTGTACTGGCGCCCCTGCTCCTATCTCTGTGTGGAGTGAGTGACAAATGAGAAACATCTGCAGTGAAAAGGCGGTATATAAATATAGATTACTACTATTACTACTATAACTTGACTTGATAACTGGTGAACTAAACTGAACTCCATTGACAAGGTTTTAAACATTGATTTTTTAAACATTGATTTCATATTTCTATCTCTACTTTTAAAATTGGAGATAGAAATGTCTACAGCACAATTCAAAGCTCTATTTTATTATAAGAAAGGACACATTCAAACTTAATCACAAGCAAATACTTTAGAAATTGTTTAATTAAATATTGATGTGTATATTTTTCAGGGTGACAAGGCGAAATCACGGTCTGAGGAGTACGGTGCAGGCCACGGGTCAAAATCCGGATAAATTCCACGATCTGCATGACCACGAGCAAGACGACAAACGCGACAATCGCACCCACACCCCAGAAAAGCAACCCTGTATCCAGCCAACACTAGCTTTACCTCAGAGAACTGAAAAGATGTGCCCAGTAAGTTCACTTCAGCAGTCAACTCCAGTCTTAGCCTCGCAATCCCCTCAAATCCACAGCTTTGAACTCTGCCCTGACCCTTGCTCGAAAAGGCGGATTGGCGGACGTCTCGGAGTGTCTTTCTGCTTTTCCCGCCGCGGCCCCAAACTAGAACCGTCCGCCTCCATCTTCTCCGACTTAGAAGAGGACAAAATGTTCAAGAAACGTGAGCAGATGCGAGAGCGGATACGGCGCATCTTGAGAAACATGGGAGAAATTGGGACAGAGGGAGAGCAGAATTCAGAGAGTGTCGGACTGAGCAGCATGGGGCCCGTCCCCAGAGGGCCCGCCTCAGAAGGCTGCGAAATTGAAAAAAGAGATTTGGAGAAGGAACACGCTGCTATTTCCACGGAAGCACAAGATAATCAGAGCAATGATTCACTGTTCCTGTCGGCATGTGGCAAGGGGTTGGAAGAGGCGTGCACAGAACAGCGGTGTGCGACAAATAACAAATTTGAAGGACAGCAGAGTCAGTCTATTTGTGTTCTGGGCAAAGACGGGACCACCCAGCTGAGATGGCCAACAAGTTCATTAAAGTTTACAAAGTCTGCACCGCACATATCCTACAGCAGCAACTTTCGCAACCACGAAAAACAAGACGATCAAGATGAGTCGTCTGCGCCTTGTGTAGCCGTTCCACACCAGACGGGATTGGAGCAAAGTGAAGAGGCATCGAAACCGCCGCTTGTAGACGGCAAGACACAAGAGCACCTGTTTCTCAAAGACAAACCCACCACATCAAGCAGAGAATTGCCAAGAAAACAAACCATTGAGATCTGCACTTTGCCAACATCCCATTCATGTGGCTATGAGATTGATGGGTTTGACTCCGCCGCCCAGAATCGTCAGGTGGGGAGATTAGAGGTTGCGGCGGAGAAAGCTATCACATCCCTGAGTTGTAAATTAGAGCGTGTCAGCCAAAGAAGGCGCGAGAGTCCAACCAGGTGTGATAGCAGCAGTGAGACAATATGCGGCAGCGTGATGCAGGCGAATATGGGAGTTTCAAAGATGTCACGCGAAAAGAAGACTAATAGGAAACACAGGATGGGGAAGCACAGGCGCAGAAGGAGGAATTCGAACAAGCGACAAATGTGCAAAGTGAAGAGTGTGGTGGTGACGTCGTGTAAAGAGTGGGGGGAGACAGGGGGGAGCGTGGGTGAGAGTGGATGTGTCGCTGTGAGGAGCAGAAGGCCTCACAAGAGCTCAGAGCAGCAGCCCCGCCGTCACAGGCCGGCTGCTCCCTGGCGATCGCACGTCCCCCTCTCTCCAGGATCTGACTCCAAGATGTTTTGGGAAAGAGGTCACCATAGCAACCCCAGGAGTTTCATTGACTGCTGTTACCCTGACAACAGCGGCGGTAACTGCCCTGCGAGAAAGCGAAAACTCCTCCACAGGGACAGGAAATCCATTCACAGTAAAAGAAAGAACTTGAGGCATTGTGAGGAGGCGAGGGCATTAGGGGAAGGTTGTGACGGGGCTTTTGTGTGTGACGCTGAGCAGTGGCAGTGGAGGAGTGGGGCGGGGCCCGGGGCCACCGCTCACATCAGCGCGGCAGAGGACAAGTTTGAGCTCAGGTCCAGTGCGAGTCCAAAAGCCTGGGGACGCAGCACAGAGGACTGGGACAGATGGACCTGTGGAAGCAACGACAGCTGGGAGGAGCCCACCACATCCAGGTCTGATAGGAAAGAGAGTCCAGGAAGAAGCCGCTGTTGGGGAAACAGAGCCACCAGTAGACACGTCTCAAGCCCTGAGTGGTGGAGCCGCCAGCTCCACAGCTCTCCCAGTGCGAGCCGGGTCAGCCCTCGCTCCTGCAGCCCTTGTAGCACTACTCTGTCAGAGCTGAGCTGGGAGTGGAGCACTTGCTCTGGGATCTCCCTGGACAAGTTGACAGTTAGCTCCAATAAGAGGCTCAGCCCAGCCTCAGTAAAAGCTTCTCCAGAGACACAGAGTATAAGCAGCCCCACTTCCACCACATCCAGCCTTTCCTCAGGCTCCTGTCCCACTTCTTCCCCCCACAGACCTCCACTGACTGTTCATAATGTAAGCACACCTCTGTGTGAACTAAGCGAGACCCGCTCTCATGAGGCCATCTCCCCAAACACAGACTGTAACGCCAACATTATTCTTCCAGGACTTTATACAACTCAGACTTTGTCCCAAAAATCTGCTAGAACATTACACTTCCCTCTCATAGGAAAACGACCTGCTATCCAGAGAAAAGCCAGACTAAAGAGGTGTCTTATAGACCGGGGTAAAAATAAAGAAGCCGATGAGACTGAGGAGGAGGAGGCCAAAGCCATGCAGCTGGAAGCAGGAGCTGAAGTAAACAATCAGGACATCAGTCATGAGCTAAGCACAAGGAGTAGCTTGAATCTCAGGGGCCGTGACACGCAGAGCAGTGTGGAGGCAGCTCCACCTGTCAGCTTCAGCCCAGACGAGATGGACAAGTACAGGCTGCTACAGGAGCAGGCCCGAGAGCACATGCAGAAGGTGCTGGAGCTCAGCCAGGACACGGAGAAAAGGCCCCACACAAAGTACTGTGCGAGTGGGCGCACTCAGGAGCCAGGAGCAGGGAAGGAGCAGTTCACAGCTGTACACACTCTGCAGCACACACTACAGATACCTCTGCCTCTCCCACACGAGAGCTACACCACCGCCTTACCCCTCCCGGCCCCCCCTCTTCCCCATTCTCCTCCTCTGCCCAACATGCACCACATCCTGGTTCCTCCCCGCTCGCCCCCCACCCCCCCTCTGCATCTGTCTCTGCACCACCTGTCTCCACACGGGCCTCCTCCTATGCACCTGCCTGCACTCTTCCCCTCCATCCTGCTGTCCCATCGGCCCCTCCCCCTGCTGCACCCCTCTGTGTCCTTTCACACGGCTCTCTCCCCCCTCACGCTGCCTCTGCCCCCACAGCCTTTCCTGGACCGCGCGTGGACAGTCCGGTTCCCACAAAAGGCTTTATGACTGGAACTGAGCCACGAGCATTTAGTTTAGCATCACTTTGCAAAGGTTGTTTGTGGCTTGACAGATGCTGTTGAAATATTATGAAATCCTCGGAAATACATCCTGCTCGTTCTACTGTCTGTATGAGTCAGGGGCAAGACAATTAGTTTTAGATGGATAAGTCTGCAATGAACAAAATACAAAATAAGATTGACTGGAGATGTAGTGTTTTTAAGATATGCAAACGCACAAAAACCTATTTCAAGTCTTGGATCGGCCTCATAAACTCATTATATTAACCCTCTATCACATCCAGACACAATTGTGACGTTTTGTTTTTTGCTTATTTTTTGCATCCTTTTTGTTAATAAATATGAAAAAATAAAATGTCACGCAAGGGGTGTATTTACTTTACAAGGGGTGTAGGGGTTTTCTACTCTGGTGTCAAATTGATAATTATGAGGTTCATGACAGATTAAACTTGAAAAGCTAGAATATTGTTCAAAAGTTACTTCTGTATTTCAATGTTCTATGTGACACTAATATATGACAGACATATATCAGGCCTTTTTATTTGTTATAATGATGATAATTGGCTCAATAACCCTGTAAAAACTCTACACAAACCATCTACAAATTTAGAATAATATGAAAATGAACTGAAAGTCATAATTATCAAAATTCTAACAAAAAAGGCTTAGCATATGTCACTTTTATCTGTCACAATTCTATAACATGTAATTGTTTCACGTTATAGACTGTTTCACAAATTGATTTACAGAAATAAATGAACTTTTAAATGATGTTCTAATTTTCCAAATTTCCTTGTATTGTGCATTTTTCACTAAATGTTTAGCCCCTTTCAAAACAAAGAACATTTTCTGAATTAAATTGAGTCAATCCGGACACGATATTGATTTATGCAGACAAAAATAATGAGCAGAACGGAAAAATATATGTTTTCGGCTACAACAGGTGGATATATAGGTCGTATAATGTTTAAGTGGGTAATTTTGAAAGAGCGATAGAGGGTTAATCTTACAGTTTTCAACAATCACACATTTTTGGTTTAATTACATCACTTTCTGAAACTTTTGTGTAAAACTATGGCAACCATAAACTTCTGACCTATATCCTATTTCTGTCTATTTTCCATTTGCAATTTAATTAACTTTTCTATTGTTTTTCTTTTTTTTTCTCCACACCTACACACTCTTTGCTCAAAGCCTTTCTCATTAGTCCTTGCGAAACCATTTTGCACAATACTGTATCTGTTGCCCTTGTAGACATTCTTCTCAACCGAGCTTTGCAACTGTTTTCAAAAAAATCACAATTTGCTTCTCGATTTAGCCCAAGCCGCGCCGTTCCAGACACTCGGAAATAAAAACAGACTTTGATCCATGGCTTTCTCCGGTGTTCCTCATTCAGTCCAGTATAAAGGGACGCTACACCTGCAATTCAAAGACAAGCTGAGGCCGTGTCAACGCCTGCTTCTCCTGTGAACCACAAACAGAACAGTGGCCTTTTGAAGTCCCATCTTTCATAGCAGGGGCAGGGGCAACAGCTCGCCTCTTATCTCAAACACACCCCAGCCATATTTGTAAGGAGTAGCAGACACAGCCACAAATAGTACTGTAAATGACATTTCTATTATGGCATTTGCTTAACTGTATCCAGATTGAGAAGCCATAGAATTAGTTTTATTCCAAACGTGCTTTCATATCGATCTATCATCTATTAAATGAGATGAAAACGACTTGTCCGTAGAAAGAAGTGTGTTTGTTTACTGTCGTAGCTCATTAGATTATTACATAAAGTATAGAATGGAAAAGGTGGAACTTTTGTACTTTCTCAGAATATTACAAGGGGTATCCAAGCTGTGGCCCTGGGGCAAAATGTCACATGCATTTCTCTCATGTCTCATTCTCCTGATTTGGCCAATGTACAACAGTAACCAATGACAAATTCTTTGTCTACGATCACTAGCATGTATCCCATGTTTTTGATGTGAAAGTGGCACAATTTTAAAACTGGGGGACTTAACTTGTTTGTTTGATAAAAAAATGCATTTGTTTGTAGAACTTTAAAATAGTAAAAGTAACATTTTGTTGTCATTTAATGTGACCAAAGATGAGGCCAAAATTACATGCGTGTGAGATAGGATAGGATTATTATATTTTTTTTCCTGGTATTAAAGTTAGGTACCCCAACTTTAAGGTTCTAGGGCAACATTTAAGGAGATATAGCCTGCTATAGGGAGAATGACACTCTTGGCTTATTACTTCATATTTAGTTCATTTGAAATATAGACATAGATAAATTAATAGAATATAAAATACACCAGTCTGTGCACTATAGTTAGAAATATGGAGTTTGCAATTACATTTTTTAAACTGTGCCAAAATGCCTCCACGTTCTTGAAGACAACAGTGTAAGTAGAACATGCATGAATTTCTCTAGACACAACTTCTGGTGAGGACATGACAAAGGAAACACCTCTATGGTCAAAACTAGTTGAAAAGTCAATTTAGATTAAAAAAAAAACAAGATTCCATTTATTTTCCATATGCAGTAAAACCACATTGGAGAAACTGTGCAAGACAGTGCACCAGATAGTACGCAAAAACCATGGCGCTATTCTTCAAACTAGGGTATTGGAAATTCACGGTGGCTTTCTTCTACCGTATACCTGCATGCTTCAATACCACATGATAATCAGAATTCGAACAATAAAACACGCTTTTTCAATCATTTTTACATCTCCTGCTCATACTCCATAGTGGCCACAGCTGCCCCAGGGAACAACAACAACAACATTGGCATCCAAACTACACCTTCAGCTCCTCCAACCACCACCACTCCCCAATCATGAAAACTTCTCCAAATGAACCACGCATAATATCCCTTGACATTTACAATCACATCTCGTTGTATTAGCAATGTGTGTGCGCAATAATTTCGAAGAGGCACACAGATGCAGCTATAGTCGAGACCTACAGTATATTGCGTCTTTATAGAGTGTGTATATGCAGTGGGACGTACGTGCAAACTACGCTTTGCCACTGCAGCTAAAGCACCGCATATATTTCTTGAAAAAAATATAGACCCCAATGGCCTTGTATACAGTATAACGTTTTTACAGGTTTGCAAACGTGAGAATGTCTTAATATGTTGTATAAATGTATAGCCTTGTTTATCTCAACCCCGGTCGTTGAACTTGACTGAGTGCATTTATTATTAGTGGGAATATACCGAGAGAAACCCCTGACCTAGAAACATGGAAAGGTTATTATTAATTATAACTAAATCTCTCAAATAAAGGAATAAATCATGCAAATCATTGTCTGCTGCTTTTGTTTATTGGCATTCGCCGATCAGGGTTTGTGTTTTGTGAAGGACTCCCACACACGTAAGAACGAACGATACAAAAGTGACAGTCTCCTTCACCTCAAACTGTGAGATGTTTGCTGGTTAGTTCCTCTGCTGTTCACTTTTTCTTTATAATTTAGTGATTTTAATGTGTTTAAACCTGATTATACTTTATAACCTGTTTAACCTGATTATACCTGTATTATAGATTTACTATAATTATACAATAAAACCTGCTTTTGGTGTAATGTAGATGAGGGGATGCACTGTTTTAGGCTTGCTGGCTCAGAAGAATTAGATCTGGTGTGTTGTCTTCAAGTTAAAGGTTGGAAATTTCTACATTGTGAGATAAATAAAGTTTATCTTATCTGAAAATGACCCGCCACAGTACCTATGATAATTTTTCCATCTGAAATTTGATGACTTTTCCTATAATGACAAAACAAACAAAATGTAATTGTCAAACTGTTAATTGTAATGTATTTTTCCCTGTTAGCTGTGCCAAAAAGATTAAAATCCCAAAGTTGCATTAATATGACAGTCACAGAATCAGATATACGTGGATCCCTCGTTTATCGCAAGGGTTACGTTCTAAAAATAACACGCAATAAGCAAAATCCGTAAGTAGCAGTTGGAGGTTTTAAGGCTGTAAACACACACACTTTATGCACTTTTGTAACCACCTGAACTCACGACTGCTGAAGTGCGATCCCAAAGATATCAAGCCTGTTTGTTGTAGGTCCGAGCGCTGCTGCAGCTGTCAAAAGCCGTGCATACACTGTGAAATACAGCAGCAGAGGCGGTGTATTTGATCCTGTCACACATGACGCGACAGAAAGCCAAGTTTGCAGTTCACTACAGAGCCACAAGACATCTCAGCAAGAGGTCTTGTGATCTTGATGAAGAAGAAGACGGGAGAGGAACAACCCAGTGTGGCGTCTCCTAAATAAAATATTTTTTAACATACAAGAGATAACAATTAGTGTGTAACATGAGAGACAGATTTGGTATAACATATGCTTTATATTTAGGGTTTAGAGAAGTAGGACATGGATGCGTAGAGAAAAAAGAAGACACAAAACTTGCTGAGTTAAGTTTGAGAACCCATGGCCTCCAGACACCGTTACTATTGTGTAAAACAGAGGCTATGGAAAATACTGTGAACTTCAAATACTGTCATATACACACTCCAATTGGGTTCAAATGAAAATCAGTGTATTGTGGAGGTATGAGAAGTGGTGGTATTTTATTGTCATTTACTGCTTAACAGAAGATGACAGTCCAAACTCATTTTTAAAAAAAAGTCTGAGCCTTCTCAGACAATAAAACACAAGAAAGAAGTGAATCACCAGTGACTGTATGACTGCATTTCCAAGTACAGTATGTTCTGTATCATACCTCCACAACAGTCTCTGAGAGAATCACATCTCTGCTCACTCCCACACAGCAGGGACTGGTCCTCAGGTCCGGGGGAGTCCAGGGTTTCAAACTGGGGACTGGTCCTCAGGTCCAGCGGAGGTCTGGTCCACCGGTGTACGTGAATGTTCGGTGCATTAAAACAGTGCATTTAAAACAGTGGTGTATGTCGAGCAGTTTAATATATTATAGAATCTCCAACAGGTAATGGTTATTTCAGTAATTGAGTTTTCTAT